GTCTGATCATCCAGTGATGGCAACATGTGGCCAGAAGGACTCCTGAGCCTAGGGGAGGGACAGGTGGCGGGAGGCCCTGGCCAGGGCTGGGCTGCATCCACCCAGTGAGGCTTCCAGGCAGGCGCAGCCTACAGCTCTGACTCACTGGGTCGCGGCTGCTCCTCGGGCGGATTCTCCGAATAGGGAAATAGAGCAGAAATCAGACACTCCCTATAACAGCTCAGAGGCATGAGGGACTCTGCACAGGGTACACTTTGTTTCCAGAGCCTGCACCTTCTTCCTGGAAACCCAGGCTTAGCAACGAGCAGATGTGCAGTGGATGGGAAAGGAAGGGAGGAAAGAGAAGAGCGGGGCAGAGACAGCTCTTCTTTATCGATCCACATCTGGAGGACACGGTGCTTGGTAGGAAGACAGGGGCCAGGCCCTCTCTGCCTCTCCTGGTGCAGGGACTCGCCCCGAGCCTCTGCTTCCCCATCTGAGAGGTGGGGGTGCGGTGCCTCCACATGCCAGCACACACTCCATGCTGGGCATCTATGCATGCTTCAAACCAATGTGATTGCCCGTCTTGAAGAGCTGGCTGGGCACGGTGTGTAGATTGTTGTACCCAGGGTCCCTTTGCCAGGAAGTAGCTGATATGGCATTTGCACCCAGGGCTGCTGTGGCCTCAAATGGGGACAGTGAATCTGCAGACTGAAGAATAATGCCCGGAACATGCCCCGTGGGACACTGGCAGCTGGAGTTGAGAGGGGCTGGCCGGTGCTGGGTGCTATAACTCCCAGAGGCTCCAGAGGGTGGCACACCAGCATTCCTGAGCCTGTGGGAAGAGGATCCCAGCGATCTAGGAGTGGAAAACCAGAGTGACAGGGAGCTGAACTCAGGGGCCAGAGAGAACTGCCGACTCAGGCGGGTCTGTCCCTGCAGCCCCCACACACTGCCCCTTGGCCCCTGCATCCTGTCCTGAGGCACGTCTGCTGCCGAGCACTCAGGGTCTGGAAACCTGGGCCCGTCCAGTGCATTATGACCCCCTCCTGGTAGCTCCTGAGAGGTCCTGGCCACTGAAGCAGAAAGCAATGAAGCGCCAGGGTCCAGAGCCCTGAGCAAGGGCAGCAAGGAATTCTGTGGGTCAGAGGCAACCTGTTGGTTGCAGCCTGGTGCGTACTGGCTGGTGCCTGGTTTCCCTCCATCTTTTACGTAACTCTGGCAGTAGGACAGGCCAAAGTAAGCACAGAATTGATCTGCATCGCACACCTACTCTGCGCACAGAGCTGAGCTGCTCACTGTGCGAGTCACTGCATCTTACAGGAGGCCCTGGTGAGCATCATGAGCTCCATTGTGCAGACTCAGGAACCAAGGATCAGAGAGGTGACGTGCCTGGCCTATGGCACACAGCCAGGAATGAGGAGGGTTGGGAATTAAATTTGGGTCTGAGTGTGACATTTTTATTCCAACAATTGTTGGCTGGGATCCATTGGCAAATTCTTCACGAAAACACAGTTGATGGATTCCAACTGTCCAGCGACAAGGCTGGGGCTGGAGAGCAGATTGGAAACGTTGTTCTTCCTTCCACTGGCCAGACTTACTCTGCACACCCTGTGCCACCACGGGAAGCTAGCCAGCCAGCCAGCGTCCCCCCAGGTCAGGACACAGGAAGATCTGGTTTTTAGTAACCAGAAGGCTCACAGCAGCTGGAACCCAGAAGGGACAGGGAAGTCACATGGGCTGGGTGTAGCTGGTGTGTGTGGGGGACCTCTGATACCCAGTGAAGGCTGCCAGAGCTGGACTTGGGAACAGGGAGGTGGTGGCTGCAGAGGCTGCGCTGACCTCTCACTTTGCAGCCTGCTGACCTGCTGGGCTTCCCCCCGTCTGCTCGTGGCTGGTGCAGGGAGATACGCTGGGCACCCGAGGGCCCTCCGCCCCCACAGTCTCCTCTGCATTTCCCAGGCCCCTAACACATTTGGACACCCCTCTGGTCCCAGGAACACGAGGAGCAGGGGTGGACACTGTGGTTTCCGGTTCTGGCTATGGCAGAAGCTGCGTTAGACCATAGAAGCTGAGAAGCTAAAACGGACGGGTAGGGAGATGAGCACGTGCCTGGGCTCAGGACAGCCACGTTCCTGGGGACCAAGAGCCTGGAGCGAGGGACCACACAGAGGAATTCACGGCTGCACCCCTGTTCTTCCTCTCGGGCGTCCTCAGTGTCCGAGTTACCTGGGCTCAGAGTTTTAAAAAAAACAAGCAGGAAGGAGCAGTGGGGACACTGACAAGCCACCCTGGGGTGGGGCCATGTCACGGCACAGGGGACAGAGATCTGAGAGAAGGGCTGTGAGGAAGGTCTGGGCTTCAGAAGCCTGCGCCCTTGGGAATGGTGAGCAGAACCATGCCAGGTGCCCAGGAGGGCAGGCCCAACCCAACGGGTCCCTCCGCCGTCAGCTGACCGCCCTCCCCAGCCTCCTGCGTCACCCCTGATGTCCACGGCAGCCGGGCAAGCCTCGCGCAGGACCAGGCGTCCAGAGAGGGTGGCGAGAGGCCAGGTGGTAGGAACAGCCCCACTGTAAGCAGCCACCCCAGGGCAGCGAGGTGACCTTGAGGTCACGGCCATCGACACTTGCTAAAAGACAGACGAGACGGAGGAGGCACCGAGAGCTGGAGGTCATCCACAGTGATCAGACGGACGTGCTAGAAGGGAGAGAGATGTGACTCTGGAAGGACTGAGGTGTGATCGCAGCAGACTGTGCAGGGGCGCCTTCCAGCAAGTGGGGAAAGACCAGAAATGACTCAAGAAGTGGCAAGAGAAGAGAGCCCAGGGGCGGAGTGACCGACACCACCGTGGGCACCCGGAGGCAGAGCCTGTCCTGGCTGTGCCTGCCCCCTTCCCTGGGGCCTGTCTGCAGCTGCAGTGGTGCCCGGGCGTGGGGAGCGCTGCCCGCCGTCCACAGGGGCTCTGTGAACATCCTCCCTCCGCGCTGTTCTTCATTCACGGTCCACGAGCTCCCAGCTGTCCTCTTTGTCCCTGCTAATTGTCCCCAGCTCCGTGTTGCAGGGCGGGGAGGGGGTGCTGATCCTCTCCAGAGGCCCCCCCTGGTGGAGCCCCGACTCCCGAGTCCCTGTGCCGGTGACCCGGTCAGGCGCACCCACCCCACGCCTCTCCAGGATTCCCGCAGGGCCAGGGGCTGACGGCCACCCTGCAGCAGGGACGGGGTCGCGCCCCTCTGCTCCCCGGATAGGGTCACCCCACCCAGCACCAACCCAGAGAGCTGGAGTCTCCCAGCCCAGCCAGGGCCCCGGGGGCGTCATCTCCACGGAGGACCTGTGTGACCAACGCACTGGGGTCTGTGAGGACGTCTCAAGCCCTGCTCAGGCAGGTGTGTGGCACCACGTCACCCCTGTGCTCCAACCCACACAAGGGTCCTTGTCCCTCAGAGACCACCCGGTCTCCACTGGCCTCCACAGCCCGAGCCACTCGCATGCAGCCTGCCACCCTGATGCTCCTGCTCCTGAAGGCCCTGGGTCTGTTGCTGCCTTGGGAGCCTCAATCATGCACCCTGACCATCTAGCCAGGGCCTGGAATGGCATGAGGACCAGCGTATTTGTAGGGAATGAATTGGATCAATGGGCGGACCTTGGTGGATGGAAGGGCGGGACTTGAGCAGAATCAGTTATCAGCCCTGTTTTGCAGTTGAATGAATGGTTCAGAGAGGTTAGGTCACTGTCCATGGTCACACAGTACACAGTGGTACCGCCTGGGGAGAATCAGACCTTGTGTCTCTTGCTCTGTGCTTCTCTGCCAGACCTTGTGTTGGCCTTCCTTTCCACATTCCTTCTGGCCATGGAACTCCACTGAGCACAGGGTATGTGCCAGGTGACAGGACCACAGTGCTGAGGCCGAGTTTCTGTCCTTCCCGAGCCCCCTGCCCAGGGAGGAGAGTGGACGGTGCAGGCAGAGAGCTGAGCCCTGTAGGTGCAGCCAGCCAGGCACAGTGGGCTGGGCTTTCTGGACAGTAGGACGGCCCGGGCAGGAGCACCTGTCACCGAGGGTCAGTCATTTTGCTTCAAGTTACAAAGAATCAGCTTTCCATGAAGGTGGGGATTTGTTCTCTCAGCTCACTGGAAAGTCAAGGTATGGGGCTGGCTGCAGGTATGGCTGGGTCTGGCCTCTCCCACTACTTGTCTGGGCTCTCCCCTCTCCCACCGCAAGTTACTGTGGTTGCCAGGGTGACACCGACCTCCACATCTCAGTGACGAACTTGCCGCAGCACTGAGGCATTTGAATGGGGACTTTCCAAGCCACGACCCATGAGAGGGCCCCAGTGGGGGCCCCAGAAGTCACTGCCCCCCTCTTGGTCCAGAGAGACCACCAAGAATGGACAGGGGGTTATGGATTGGGGCTTAGATCCAGCGTCCTCCTCTCCTTGTGACCCATCCCTGAGTCTGTTTCTTCCAGGACACACAGGGAAACTGGTATCTGGCGGGGTGGGCTCTGAGGACTGTCTGGAGATAGCCCCACGGTGGCCTGAAGGGAACGAGGACGTTCACTTTCCCACGGCCACACCCTGCTCAAGCAGAGCTTGACGGTGGCCACGGGGAGCCCAGCTGTGGTGGTAGAGGCGGGGACCCTGTGCTAAGGGTGACATTTTTCTTGTGATTCTTGCGGCTTCTGCTGCTGCAGTTCAGGACAGGTGGTCGGATAGTGTTTGGGATCCTGGGTGCCATGTGCACCCCGAGACCCCGACTCTCCCGGCAGGCTTGTGCTGAATGCTTCCTCGTCCCAGCTTCGGGCTGGGCGGGGCGTGGAGGGGTCCCCCGCCCCCGGCCTTGGTAGCCTGCAGACAGACAGGAACTTCCCATTGCACAGACACCTACCCTGGGGCTCCGGAGGGCAAACCAGTCCCCGCAGCCCCCCAGGTTGGCCACACACACAGGGAGACCCCAGAATCCATCCGGGGCCATGCAGGAGAGCGAGGTGGCAGGATGTCATCTTTCTTTCTTCTTTTTCTATGCAGATGACGGACAACCTCTGTGTGGTCATCAAGACGGCTGCCCAACTGCCACATCCCTGGTGACAGCATGGAGCGACACGGCTCTCATTAAGGATCACCTCCGGAGGAGGGTAGTCAGGGGGCCGCCCTGCATCCAGGGCCAAGCCCCGTCCTTCCAGGTCCTCACCCCGAGGGTCCCGGGACTGTCGCAAAGATTAATGGCCCCTGAGCCCCTCCGAGTGGGAGAGGGAATCCCTGTTATCACATTTAATTAAAACTTCATCAAGAGACATCATCAGCTCGTTTGGGATCGTAGAAGAAACAGGCCACATTATTTCCTAAAAGACCGACTGCAGGCCGAGAGCGGGCCCAGGAATGGGCTCTGGGCACTGCCCGGGCGTGTCCAGGGCACAGGGGCGGCCGCCTCTCCGTGGGGGTGCAGCTGGCGCTCACAGCCCGTGAGGCCTTCCTGGGGACGGACCCCAGCCTCCCCCTGATCGCACCTGCGCCTCCAGGACCTTCTCTGTCTCCTGCTCAGTTGGCAGGTTCCTCCCACCCGTCACAGGGCCCCCCGCAGGCCGTGAAGATGGTGGCCGTGCGGAGGAGGACCCTCAAGGTGCTCACCTTCCTGCTGCTCCTCATCTTCCTCACCTCCTTCTTCCTCAACTACTCGCACACCGCGGTGCCCGCCGCCTGGTTCCCCAAGCAGATGGTCCTGGAGCTCTCCGAGAACCTCAGGAAGCTGCTCCGGCCCCGGCCCTGCACCTGCGCCCGCTGCGTCAGCCAGCAGGGGCTGTCGGCCTGGTTCGACCAGCGCTTCAACCAGACGCCGCCGCCGCTGCTCAACGCCCACAACGCGCTCCTGGACGAGGACACCTACCAGTGGTGGCTGGTGAGTCCTGCGGTGGGCACGGGGCAGGGCGGGGGCTCGAGGGCCACACGCCAGCCCTGCCGGCACCTGTCACGAGTGTGTCAGAGCAAGCCCAGGCCACTGTCACCGGGGACTGCCGAGGACCGCGAGGCTTGGGACCACCTACGCCTGCCGCTCAGGGCTGGAGGCCAGAGGCTGAGGTCGCGATGTCCTTAGGCCGGTTCCTCCGTGGCGCTGCGGGGGACTCTGGGGTGCACGCTGTCCCTTGACTGGCAGCTGTACCGCCTCCACCTGCAGGGCCACGCTTCCCTGTGTCCATCCCTCTCCTCCCATGAGGGCACCTGTCCTTGGAGCCAGGCTCACCCAGTGTCCAGGCTGATCTCTAGAGGTCCCTCAGGGCTTCCTGCAGGGCCGTCCTTCCAGGCCACATTCTGGGCTCTGGGGACTGGCCCCTGGGCCCATTGGTACCAGCGGTTCACCGTGGCAGGTGGTGCAGTCAGAATGCAAGGTCACTGCCGGGGGAAGGTAGAGATAAGAAGCAAACCGACTGCAGGGGTTCCTCCATATCTGGGGGTGAGCCCCCGATGCTCCAGGGCATTGCCTGTAACCTGCTCACATCCTCCATGAGCTTTGACCATCTCTAGGTGACTTATAGTCCCCAGCACCACCTGAATGCCCCCTGAATGCTGCTGGACTCTATTGCTCACTCTGCGCATTGTTTGGTGCAGATGCGATTTTTTCAGCTATTTTGTGGCCACGATTGGTTGATCCCATGGATGCAGAACCCATGAGCCTGGAGGGCCCAGTGCCAGCAGAGTAGCCTTGGCAGAAAGTGCTCTCAGGAAGGTCACCTGAGATGTGTCATCATGACAAGTGTGGAGCCTGGGACTCACCTGCAGGGAGACAGGTGCCTCCTCGGGGTGGTGCTCTGGGGGTGAGCAGGCCCCGTCCAGGACTGGACACGTACTTAGAAACTGGCCAGGAAGTTAAGGGACGGGGTGTCTGAACTTCTCAACCTCCCCTCCTGTGTTCGGATCAGTAGCCTTGTGGGGCTTCTACTGCCATTCACAGAGGACAGAGAAAGCCAGAATATCCCCCCCCCCCAGTGACATTAATGACGTAATACTGTAAATGGGGTGGTCAGGGTCATCTCTGAGGCACCAGGCATGGAAAGTTCCAGAGAACATGCTGCAGCTCCCAGGGATAGCATGTGCAACAGTCCTGGGGGTGGCGGGTGTGTTGGAGGGGTGGAGGAGGTCGGGGGCTGGGGTGCTGGGAGAGCAGGTGCAAGGAAGAGGAAGACCCCGTGTGAAGGAAGTCCAGCAGGAAGCCACTGTGGGACCCCACCCAGCCGAGCCTGACCTTCATCTGAAAGGCCATTCTGGTGGATAAATGCAAAGTGGGTGGAAGGGAAGTGAGAAATCTGCCTCTGTGTCAGACTGCTGAGCACTTCTGTGTGCAGGCCCAGTCTATGCAGATGGAATAGGAGACACTGTGCAGGGAGAAGTGCACACACAGTCCCCAGCCTGGGTGAGGGGTGTGGAGCCGGAGGTGGGCGGGGAGAGGCCGAGGAGGAGCAGCTGGCCACGGGGCCTCAGAGGCTGCCCCCAGGACTTCTGCAGCGAGGCCCCTGCGGGCAGAGGGGTCAGGTTGTGCGTCAGGCTGGAGGAGTGAGAGAGCGTGCGGGAACGGAGGGGCATCACGAGCAAGTGGCCACCGGTGCCTGGGGCGCTCAGGACCCCTCACGCGCCCTGCTGAGGGCAGGGCCTGGAGTGCGCTGGGCTGCAGAGGCAGAGCTGCCCTCGCGGCGTTTTCTGTGAGGAACCCTGCCTGGGAGGAGCACGTGGCCTCCTTGACAGGAGTGGGGACGCCTGTGAGCCTCGGGGGCCCAGCGCCGGGTGGATCTGGAGCCCAGCTCGACCTGGCCTGGTAACCTGTGCTGAGCGCCAGGTCCCGAGTGGGCTCTGGGGATGTGACACAGAGCAGGACCGGTGGGGACCCCCGTGTCTGGAGAAGGAGGTGGTGTGCTCAGCCACAGAAGGAACAGGGCAGGGGCTCAGCCTTGACCTTGGCTCCACTGGTGTTGGACTGACAGGGCCACCGGCCACCTTGCCTGCAGATGGGACAGCGGCTACAGGCCCAGCGCAGGGCAGGGCTGGGAGGCCTGGGACTCGCCTGCAGGGAGACAGGTGCCTCTCCAGATGGTGCTGTGGGGTGAGCATGGCCCGTCCAGGGCTGGACACGTTGAGGGACAGGGTTGTGAACTTCTCAACCTCCCTCCTGTGTTCGTATCAATAGCCTTGTGGGGACAGAGAAGCCAGACTGTCTCCCAGTGACATCAGTGACATGCTGAGTGACCGCCCCTGTGTGCCACGTGTGTGAGATCCCGGACGCTGATGCTCGGGTTTCCTCCACGTTCTTCCTGGGTCTGTCCTCTTGCTCTGGCCAGCTGACCTCCGAGCCCCTTCCCCGACGCAGGCTCTGCTTCTGCCTCCCAGTGCAGAGCTGGACAGACCAGGGTCCCCGCAGAGCGGGCCACACGTGGCTGCAGGAGACGGGCAGGCCATCAGGGCACGGCACTGTGGGCACCTGCGGTCATTCCTGCTGGGCTCCCTGCCCATCACCTGGCCTGAGGTCGCCCCCGTCTCTAGCTCTGGCCAGTCTTGGTTCTGGCAGAGAGAGGGTAGTGTGTATGGCCGTGCACACGCTGGGCGGGTGCCTGGGGTGCTGTCCAGTCTCCACTGTGTCTGTGGGACAGTTTCACTTCCACCCCGTGGTCCACGCTTCCCACCGCGGCGGGCATGGTCCCGTGGGAGCCCTCGCTGCCCCGCCCTGGCGCCAGGCGGGCATGGGCTGTGCTTCCTGCCAGGCACACAGCTGACCCCAAGCCCTCAGCCCCAGCTGCCCCTGCAAATCCCTTGTGCGGTACAGTAGGTGCCCAGGGCACGTCGTTGCTGGGGACACGGGCACATGCGGTGCCTGCTCCCTGGTAAGGGCACATGGTGAGGCCGCTCGCTGCTCCCAGCACCTGGTCTCGAGGGGGGGGCACAGAACCCTCTCTGATGGCCTCCACTGAGATTCCCACCCGGGCCTGCCTGGGGTCCTCTACCCGGGGTGCAGGGTGGTCCCTGGATACCAGGAGCAGTGGTGCCACTCAGCTTGTCAGACAGGCAGGGTCCCCGGGAGGTTGTCTGCACGTTGGGAAGGTGGGGCTGCCCCAGGGATCTTACCAGAGCCGGGGTCCACCCTGGACATGGGGTTGGTGGTAACGCACGCCGAGCGCGACGTCCATCACGTTGACACCTGTCAGGGCACAGTTCACCAGCACCGTCACGCTCAGAGCGTCCTGTGGCTCGCCACTGCTCACCCCCACCCAAAGTTGGCACCACAAAGCCCGCTGCGCCGCCCCACCAGCCCCTGGACCCGCCCTTGTCTTCTTACCTTGGTGAGTTCGACTCTCCAGGAAATGCCCCTCCACGGGACTCCTGTCCTGCCCGTCAGGCGGGTTCACTGTGACGTTCTGAGGCCCAGCGTGGCAGCCTAGAGCGGATCCCATTCCTGTGTCAGCGAACGATCTTCTGTCTCATTTTCAGCCCACACTGGGCTTATCTGCTTCTCCACGTCTGGCCCCGTGGGTCCGTCCACCTCTTGACTATGGTGAACGGTGCTGCTATGGGCGTAGGTCTCCCAATACTGGCCCATACTGGCTCAGGACTGTGTCCACTCCTTTGGCTGGGCAGCTGGGAACGGCATGGCCCGGTGAGGGGGCAGCTCTGTGTTCCCCAGTGAGGAGTCACTGTCTTCCACAGTAACCGCCCCAGCTTACAGTCCCACCAGCAGTGCACAAGGGTTCCATTTTCTCCACATCCTTTGTGATCTTCCTTTTTGAAGATTATAAGGGTGCTAGTGGGGGTGACGCGTGCTACAGGTAATGTTGCCTTCAGTTTCCCTGGGGCCTGTTTTTCATTACTGTCCATTTTTCATTACTGTAATGAAATACCTGAGAGAGACCACTTTATAAAAAGAAAAAACGGTCTGTTTAGGTTCACAGTTCTGGAGGATGAGGGCTTTCATCTGGCGAAGGCCTTCTTCCCAGTGGAGTCCCAAGGCAACAGCACGTGACAATAGACAGATGGCCTATGTGTGGGTCTCCTCATCTCTCTCCCTATTTCTTATAAAGCCACAAATATTCAGCCAGGGGGCTGCACCCTGATGTCCTTTTAAAATCCTAATCAAGGTGGCCCAGCAGCTGAACACCATGGTCGTGTGAATCTCCACCCTCTTAAGACCTCACAGCGGGAATTAGGTGTCAACACATGCAGCCTTGGGGTCACTCAATCCATGTCCAAACCGGAGCACCTGTCCCATGTCTCCTGCCCCAGGAGATGCTGAGCTGTCTTCACCAGAGCAACAGCAGGGTCTCCTCACGCGCCTCCCTGGGGGGGTTTGGACCCTCCCACGTGGCGGGGACTGCACTCCTGAGGACCTCTGTACTCATCTCCCTCGTCTCTGGCCTCCTCTTCCTCTCCCAGCCACCCCGTCCCTGGGGCAGCATAGTAGCTGATGGAATCACCCCACAGCGCAGCATCCCCCCACCCCACCCACAGGGGCTGGGCTTTCTGAAGGTCAAGGTCGCAAGGCTGGAGGCCTGGGCTGTGTTTGGGGGAAACTTAGGGAGGACTTTTGAAAGCCCAGCTTCAGTTCCTGGTTTGCATGTGGCACAAGTCGCCTGACCTTTCGCTGAGAGCACCTTCCTCACCTGTGTCTTCGTGGGCCAGGTGCCACGCAGCTCACACCGTGTCTCGAGGGCTCCAGGGCCCGAGTGCCACCGAAGACACCGTTCAGACCTGGGCAGTGCCTTAGGGACCAAGAGGGTGACCTACTTGTCCTGGCTTTAGCACCAAAAGTACTGCATCCAGGAAGTACTGCATGAGGGACCAGGAAGGAGTCCTGGGCCAAGGGGCCTTTGAGCTGGTCTCAGCAGATGCAAGCCGTGTGCTGTCAACAAGGGAGGCCCCTGTGCCTCCATCGAGTGGCCGCCCTTAGGTCAGGATGGGGAGGTGCATAGTCCTGGGGCTGCGGAGGGTGGGAGCATGAGGGAGCAGAGGCGGGTGGGCAGTCCGTGTGTCCCAGGCCCGGCTAGCCCACGCCTGCTGCTCTGTTAAGGTGTGACCAAGGGCCTGGAGCCCCAGGGACCTGGCGTCCAGAATTGGGAGCCATTAGGAGCAGGCAGGAGTGTGACCAGCCCCAGAGGTTCTGCTGGGACCCTAGGGAGATGGAGTCACTCCAGAGGGTGGGGGGCCAGGGTGAGGGGCTGTGGGACCATGAGGGGTGCAGCGCCCCAGCCTCCCTGGGCCCTCCCCTGCAGCCAGCGTCCTGCCTTGGCTGTCGGCACAGGCCGCCGCACACAGGAGGCGTCTGTGGACATTGGCAGTGAGTGAGGGCGCTCTCTTTCTGTCCCCTGAGCAGCCTTGGGCTCTTTGGTGGGCAGCAGTGTCTGAGCTGCTGTCACCTCCAGAGCCCACAGGCAGGGCAGCAGGAGGTGCCAGCAGAGGCAAGCTGGCCGCTGGCGGGCAGGTGGCCGGGGCACAGAGTCTGCCGGGCCAGCAGCAGCACCAGGCCCACCGTCCCCTCCTCCTCCACAGAAGCTGCAGCGGGAGAAGAAGCCCAACAGCCTGAACGACACCATCAAGGAGCTGTTCAGCGTGGTGCCCGGGAACGTGGACCCCCTGCTGGAGAAGCGGTTGGTGGGCTGCCGGCGCTGTGCGGTCGTGGGCAACTCGGGCAACCTGAAGGAGTCCTCCTACGGGCCTGAGATAGACAGCCACGACTTTGTGCTGAGGTGAGAGCCGGACCCGCAGCCCCAGCCTCCTGGCTGCACACAGGGGCCCTGCGGGGCTCAGGCCAGAAGGCCAAGGTTCCAATCCTGGAGCCCCGGGCTGCACAGGGCCCACTCCCCTGTCCCCCAGCTCTGCTCTGCAGGCTGAGTGGGCCAGGAGGCCTCTCTGGGTGCAGAGAAGAACCCGGGGTTCCTGGGAGCTTGGCGTGGGAGGCCTGGAGAGAGGACCGGGGTCTGAAGACACTGTCTTTCAAATTTCTACCCCGTTTGCTGTGACAAACCGTAGGCTTCTAATGTCAACCTATTTCCTTGTCCCAAGTTACAGACATCCCCACAGAGGCCCAAGTCTACGCTGGGTTTCCTGCGACCCTGGCCGCATTGCTCACCAGGGCCCCAGGGCAGGGCACAAGCCGGGGTGGGCTGCCACTCCCCAGCCACCTCCTCCAAAGCCCCTGTTTCTGTGGCTGGACATGATGTCCCCAGACCCCTGACTTGGCTCTCAGCGTACCTGGTGTCCAGTGGGAACATCTGTGTGGAGGCAGAGTCAGATGCGGGGTGGAACAGACCTGAGTCAAGGCTGCCACTGGGAAGCTCCGTGGCTTGGACAACCTGTCCGACCCCAGGTCTCGGGGGCCATGATAAAGGACCGTGGAGACCTCTGGGTGCTACATATGAGAGGCCGTCAACCATGGGTGGTGGCTCCCTTGAGATCAGAAAGGACAAGTCAAAAGCCTTTCACCCTGTTTCCCACGGGAGGAAGTTGAGGCCGGGGAAGAGGGGACACACCCGAAGTCACAGCACGTCTAAACCCTGTGACCTGTGCCCTGAGGTCCAGGACACCCAAGCCACACAGCACTCTCCCTCCCTTCCTCTCCCAGGATGAACAAGGCCCCCACGGCGGGGTTTGAGGCCGACGTAGGCAGCAAGACCACCCACCACCTGGTGTACCCCGAGAGCTTCCGGGAGCTTGCGGAGAACGTCAGCATGGTCCTCGTGCCCTTCAAGATCACTGACCTGCAGTGGGTGGTCAGCGCCAAGACCACAGGCACCATCTCCCAGTGAGTCCCCACCGGGCACTGCAGGGGCCAGGCCTGACCTCCAACCCCGGGCACGCGCCTGCCCCCCACTCCTCCTGCCTCCCCTGGCCAGGCCTGCTCTGACGGCTCCACCTCCAACCTCTTCCACAAAGCCCCAGGCGTCACCGTCCTGCTGGGGACTCCTGAGTGGACCTCCAAGGTCCACCCCCCAGAGGCCCTGGACACTCAGGGTCCCCTGCTGCAAGGACTGCACACATGGTCGGTCCACCCCCACCACAGCTCTGGCCAGCTCCCAAGGGCCACAGCCATTGCTCCAGGAACTGTAAATTCCAGCAACTGGGGCACGGGGTCGGTGGGCCCTGTGGGTGCCGCCTCTGCCTCCCAGGCAGGTACGCTGGACCCGGAGCAGGGGCCAGCAGCAATGGCTCCTGGAGGGGAAGGGGCCCCGTCTTCTGACCAGGCCCCACATTGTCTTGATCCCATGCCATGGTCCCCCTGGGTCCATTCTCCCAGGGAGGAAACAGGGTTTGGCCCCAGCACATGCTCAAGACCAAACCTGACCCAGTGCCTGGGCAGCCATTTGGGTCCAGTTCTGAGGCCTGGACTCTTCCCAGGAGGGAGTAGATTTAGTTTTCCTCTTTCCACATGCCGCCTGGTCCCAGGCCAGGTCTCCTAGGAGCCGTCAGTGCCAGGAACTCGGGTTTCGGGAACTGCTTGGGCTGTCCGTGCCCCCAGGGCTCAGGGAGCAGGGAAGAGTCCAGGGCTGGAGGAGGGGGGCTCCCCCCCCCCCGGGGGCCTCAGCAGGGGTCTCCTGGTGGTGATCCCAGACTCTGCGGAGGCAGCTGCAGTGGGTGGAGCCCTGGCTTCTGGTACCCTTGACCTCCCAGGTGAGCAAGGCCAGCTGGGGCCACATCAGCCTGCGCCTGTCACCAGCCAGCAGCCCAGCTGCTGAGCACAGGTACTGTGGACCTCAAGGTCCAGGCCTCACGGGTCCGCCTGTGGTCCCTCAGCCTGTGCTGGGAACAAACCCCAGTCCTGACTGTTCAGGGAAACCCGCCACACAGTCCCCTGCTGAGCCAAGGCCGCCCCCTGGTGTCGCAGTGGGTCTGCTGCTGGCCGGGCCCCGCTGGGGCAGGGGAGGCACCTGTGGGATGGAGAGGCCCCCCTGGCCTTGCCTGCCCTGCTCTCCAGTGGACGCCCCGGGGCTGCAGGTGCCCTGGCAGCTCCCGCATGCTAACCATCTTCTCCCCACCTGCAGCACCTACGTCCCTGTGCCCTCGAAGATCAAGGTGAAGCAGGACAAGGTGAGTGGACTCTGCCCCGTAGGCCGAGGGTTCCTGCTCAGCCCTGCGTGGCCGTGGTGCTGAGGCTGCCAGGGCCCCCGCTCAGGCCGGTCAGACGGGCCTGAAAGTGGGGTCTCCAGAGCAGCAGCAGCAGAGATGGCCGTCTGCGGGCCACCCCAGACCTGCCCCAGAGCCCAAGGAGTAGTCCGGGGTGTGGGCTGCATGAGGGCAGCTCCCGCCTTCCCCGAGTGGCTCTAGCCGAGCCCCAGCTGGCTCCGTCTTTCCAGGGGACTTCCTGGGCCCACCTGACACAGGTAAAGGACAAAAGAAGGAAGGAAGCCAAGTGCCCTCCGCAGGCCCTTCGTCACATTGAGTAGGCTCAGAGAGGTCCCTAACCTGCTCAGGGACACACAGCTAGCTGGTGAGAGGGCTAGGACTGAGGTCTCCCTGCTCCTCCAACACCCTGCCCTGTGGGGAAACCACCAGGAGTCTGTAGGGAGGGAGAGCAGAGGGCCTCCCGGAGGTGGCAACAACTGGAAGCCAGACTGAGAGATGAACTGCCCTCCAGAGACTGCAGACCTGCTTCCAGTCCAGTCCCGGAGGCAGCATTAGGCTCCCTGGACGTGCACAGCTCTGTTGCCCGAGAAGTCCCCCCATGTCCTCACGGTGGCCCGACACTGATCCCTCAAGTTGGTCCTGTGCCTCCCTGAGCCTCGGTTTCCTCATCTGTGGCAGGAGGAGAGGGAAACCACCATCCGGGCCACTGAAGGGTCAGATGAGCCCCACGGGGCCAGGCAGAGCAGCCACGCGGGTCCTGGTTCCTCTCCTGCTGTTTCCTGGGACCCCTTCTGTGGGACCCCTTCTGTGGGACCCCTTCTGTGGGAGGCCTCAGCTCCCCTCCTGGCCTCCTTGGGTGTTTACCTAGTGTCACCTTCTCCCAGCTCTGGGGCCCTTCAGTGCCACCTCACAGTATAGGCAGGGTCCATCCTTCCCACCAGCACGTGAGCAAGCCCTCTCCAGGGCCTGTCCCCCTGACCACGATGGTGCTGGCCAGTAGCACTCGTGGCCTCTGCTGACCAGAGCCCCTCGGGGCCGACCTCGCCCACAGATCCTCGTCTACCACCCGGCCTTCATCAAGTACGTCTTTGACAGCTGGCTCCAGGGCCACGGGCGGTACCCGTCCACTGGCATCCTCTCGGTCATCTTCTCCATGCACATCTGCGACGAGGTAGGCCCCTGGGGACGAGGGCTGCCCTGGCACAGTCCTGAGAGAGGCGGGGGGGAGGGTGGGCCACCAGCTCCTCGTGTCTCCACGTGGCCCGTGAGACCTGTCTCCTGGGGAATGGCCGGGAGGGACGGCCCCCTGTGAGGTGGTCCTCAGGAGTGAGGGTTCTGGTCCGTTCTGGTGTTGGCCAGGGCAGCACGAGGACGGGGTGGTGGAACCTCATACTCAGTGGACTCTGGGAGGGACACTTGGCTGACTCATGGCCGTGACCTCAGTGCTCCTGAAGACTGTCTGTGCAGCCCAGGCAGCACCCGGGCACATCCCAGCCCAGACGCACTGGAAGCGGGAGCCGGGTGCCCACAGGTGCCCTTTCCCACCAAGGCTGAGGGCCAGTGACCTTGTGGAGCTGTCTGCCCACCTGGCAGAACCTGGGGCCACACCTGCCCTCCTCCTCAGCCCTGGGTTCAGACAGGGCACTCCGATGTCCCTGCTTGTCATAGACAACCCATGCCCACCCCCAGCCCGCCTGGTCCCTGGCTGGAGTCCCAGGGAGGGGCCCTGGGGGGCAGGTTCCCATGTCCCTCCCCCTGGGACTGCCCACCCCCCTCCAGCCAGCTGCTCCCAGCCCAGGGTCCTGCTCAGCTCCTCTCCCGTCTGCCCTCCTGTCAGCCTGGGTCCGTGGGGACCTTACTGAGAAGCAGCACGTGCAGCAGAGCTGTCCCCTCCCCTCAAACCTGTCCTCCAGGCCAGATGGAGCGTCCCCTCCCTGGAGGACCCACCTGGCCCCTTCCTACTCACTTGCCAAGACCCAGTACCAATGTCTCCACCTCAGAGGGGCGTCCTCTGCCCCGGGTCCTGGGTCCTGCCTCCTCTGTGCCGTGGGAGCCCTGAGCTCAGCCTTGGTCCCTCCAGGGAGCTCAGCTGGTGACAACATCAGCCACAAACTCCCAGGAAGCTGAGGCTGACTCCCACGTCACCTGTCCAGTGGCTTCAGAGAGAGGGCCGCCCAGCTCTGACACGTCCAGCCAGCGCTGGGCATGGGAGGCCTGCTCACTAGTGCTTTCCACATGTGGGGGCCACGCCCCTGGCCAGCGAGGGCCCCAGACCAGGAGATGTCGGCCTCCCCTGGGGCGAGGAGCCCTTCCTGCCCCCTGCCTCCTGTGACCACCATTCCTGGCCCATTCTCCAGATGAGGAAAGTGAGGTGCAGAGAAGGGACCCGACACACCCAGGGCCAGCTGGTCAGGAGCCTCTGCCTGGCTCCCAGCCCACTCTCCACTGCCCCTGCCCAGGCCCTGGAGCGTGGAGGAGGGGTCGCCCTGGCGAGGGCTGCCCTCGGGTCACCCGCCTGCCGTCCCTCCCGAGGCCTCCAGGCGGCTCTGGACTGAGTTTTGCTTGATTTGCTTTGTGTCTGTCGAGCCCCTGGGGACCTGGATTTCTAGAACTTCTGGATATCCACTGTGACGAGGGGTTCAGGGTGGGCCCCCTTGCCTGGAGTCTCTGCTCCAGGTCCTGTGTCTCACCTTCCCTTCCCTTTGCCCCCCAGGTGGACTTGTATGGCTTTGGGGCAGACAGCAAGGGGAACTGGCACCACTACTGGGAGAACAACCCATCAGCAGGGGCTTTCCGCAAGACAGGGGTGCATGATGCCGATTTTGAGTCCAACGTGACAGCCACCTTGGCAGCCATCAACAAAATCCGGATCTTTAAGGGAAGATGACATTGCGAAGGGATCGGGACGCACACACGTGGCACCACCTCGATTTCCAGCCTCGGCATCTTGCTGGAGTCTCTCCCTTCCCGGAGCCCCCAGGGCCAGCCTGGCGGTGTGCCCAGGGCCAGGCGCAGCCTCCTGCCCCCCATTTTCAGCAGCAGCTACCCAGCAGAGTGGCCCGCTCTGCCAGGGCCCCAGAGCGAGGCTTAGAACCTGTCCCAGGTGGGAGCAGCCCCAATGCTGCCCTGAGCTGGGAGCTGGGGAGGTGCTGGGAGGCTCAGTCTGCAAGTGAAAATCGAAGACCCCCTACCCTAAAAGACAGGTGACCCCTGGGAAGATGGGAAGAGGCTGGTCAGGCCTGACTCTCTGACGTGTCCTGGGATGCGTGGGAGACGGCTACCTCTAGGCCAGAGCCCCACTGGGCCCTGCCAGCACTGGGGCGAGACCTGCCTTGTGCACGAAGCCGGCCTCTCGACCTGCCCTCGTCCTGCCATCCCTTCCTGAAGCTCACTGAGGATCCGGGACAGGCCTCTGACCCTGGAGGTCGTCACAGCTGCTTGGCCACCGGTTTCCCATGGGCACAGACGCCTCTTCCCAAACTCTTCCCTGGAGTGATCAATCTCCGTGGTTCTGATCGTGGCCGAGAGCAGACCTGACCACGTCCATGTGCCTTTGTACTGGGGAAAATGCAAGCACGGCTGAAGAGACTCAGGGCCCCACGCGAGGTGGGCACTCCCAGCCACCCCCTGGCTCCACGGCGGGGACTCGTGTTCTGGCTTATGAGGGATGACACTCGGCCACCGGTCATCCACCAAGGAGCGTCCACTCTAGTTTCCGTGGACCACGGGGTTTGGTGCCTGTTTCCCCAGGGCCTGGGCTCCGGGCCAGTTACGCTGGCCGCCTTCTTGGTGTCCTGGGGTAGCATGGGGTGCCCACGGACCGGCCACCTGCACATACCTCACCTCCTCACTCCTCGTCACTCTCCGGCCTCGTCGCCGTCCTGATTATTTATTGATTGGTTTTTTAATTGAGCAGCTGCGACCCCCCTGGGTTTCCACAGAGCTTCGCTGCTTCCGGCAGCTGGGGCGGAGAGCTTGAAGGAAGGGCCTGGGAGTCCTCGGACGTGAGTGGCTGGGGGCCCGCGGTGGGTGGCCCAGGGTCGTGTTGGTGGAGTGTGGAAGTTCCCTCCTGCCTCCCCGCTCGCACCCAGTCCTCACGTCCCTCCTTCCCACCCAACTCAGTCTCAGGCCAGGCGACTCCCGTCTCAATGAAACCTCCCCGGGGCTGGAGGGGGGCAGCCACAGGGGACAGTGACTGTTGGCTGCAGTTACTGATGCCCCATCAGAAAACCACTTTTCCCCTGGAAGACATTTCCTAAAGGCCAGTGCTGCTCTGGGAAGGCCGTGCCCCTGTGGAGCAGGAAGGCTGTAGTCATGGCAGCCACAGGGCCGCTCTCCCCAGCTCAGGGTCCCCACAGCTAATGGGGAGGGAAGAATCACAAGACACTGGGGGCCTCTGTCAGGAGCCACATGTGGCTTCAGGCCATTCACAAGGGTCCTCAGAAATTGCACACTGACTGTGATTTTCCCAAGTCTGCATAGGAGTATTTTGGGATGGGAGAGTTTCCGCACCCTTTATAGACACTCAAGATTCGGGATCCAGAAGGTGGTTTTGTTTTGTTTTGTTTTAAAAAATCTATTTAAGCTTTAAAATCTTCCCATATTTGAGACTCTGTCCTTGGGTAAAGGGTGGTCAGTCACCACGAGGCCTGGGTGCATCTTCTGAGGTTAGAGGTCACAGTCACACGTGGTGTAAAGAACTCACAGATGCTTATAGGTCGCTGACCCACCCCAGGGACAAACTGGAGACAGGTAGGCCCTGGGGCAGAGAGGAGCGCTGACTCCCGAGCCCCGCCTGACCATCTCCCAAAAGCTTGGGTGTTCAGGTGACAGGTTCAGGCTGACAGGCCACCTCCTGGGTGCTACTGCGTAAGAGCAGGTCCCAGAGCTGCAGCCCGCCCGCATCTGGGCTACATGCCACCTGGGTTGCTAGTCTGGCGGCCATCTGCTCTCTCCTCCCCTCCCTCCCATGAGAGTATTCAGCTGCAAGTGACCTTCCAGCCCACGGGTTCAGCTCTTCATTTTACAGATGAGCAAAGCAGGGCCCAGAGAGGGATATGACTAGGAAAAGTGCCCCTGTTGGAGCAAGATCAGGACCTTGTTGGCTCCGTGTTTAAAATGCAGACCCTTCTTTGTCTCTCTGGCTGAGCAGTGGGTACCTAGCCACATGGCAGCCAGTCACGTGGCCAGAATGCAATGCTCTGATTGGCCCTGGGGTGAGGATGGCCGAGAAGCAGGTCTTTGCACCTGCAGGTGAACAGGCTCCTCTGTGTCCACCAGAGGCAGAGTTTACTGCAAGTGCTCCTCAGGGGGTGGAAAGCAGCTCTGGGCTTGCGGGGGAGCAGGGGGCTCCTGCCTGCAGCACACACAGTGAACCCCAAGCCACCGAGGTGGGGCCACGAGATCTCAGCAGCCTCCAGTCCTTCAGGGGCCCCAGCGAGCCGGCCCCTGACCTGCTAGTGATTTGCATTACATCCCTGCCCATGTCCACTGCTAGGAAAAGGAGAGGTCTGCAGCCTTTGGCTCCCTGGAGGAGCACAGGACAGAGAAGCACCATTTTGAAACAGGGTTTGTCCAGCAGACCATGCGGGGCCGGGCTTAGGGGGCGGAGTCAGGAAGCCAGGCAGGGAGCATGTCGGGCCAGGGACATTCTCCTGTAAAGGGCACGTTGACGAATTCTGTGCTGTGGCATCAGAAGGGCCCTAGAAGCCAATCCTACCTCCATGTGAACCGGGCCTCTGGGTCAAAGGTGGAACAGAACCAGAGAGAGCATTCATACCGGCTCCCGTGCTTCTCTGTTCCCCTCGAAGCAGCGTGAGAACAAAGAGCACCCGCCCCCCCCCTCACCTGCTGTGATGGAACCCGCTTCTCCAGGGACACCAGCTCTGCATGGCCACTGTCCAGCCATTAGAGGGCCGGATGCCTGCCGTGTCCTCGGGAACCAGCAGCAGTCCCCTATTTGATACCATGGTGTCCAGAGTGGACTTCTAGTCTGTGGCCACGTGCCCTGAGCTGCTCATCCCCCCGTGGCCTGGGCCAGCCAGTTTTGAAGTTGTCAGATCTCCCTCCCTATTTGTCACGAGGGTCCCTGATCTGTGTCCCCGAACCTGACACCCGGGAGGAGATATCAGGGCCGCTCCTGGGAGGCCTCCGCCCAGCAGAGTGCCCAGCCTCTTCCCTTCCTAACAGCCCACCAGCCTCCAGCTCCTGGTCGCCCCAGGACCCCAACCACAGCTCAGCTCTACCTGGCACCAAGTTGCCCTCAGCTGCCCCCCTGCCAGGAGCCCAGGGCCAGGACGGTAGCTTTAATCTCCCCGCATCAGGAGCTGCCCACGGGGGTGGGCGTGGAGTCCCACCTCTGGGGATTCCTTCAGCCCTGGCCCACTCCCCTTCAAGCCAAAGCTGATCGAGCACTTTCTCCTTTGCCATCTCCTCCCTTGGTTGTTGGTGATTGAAATCTCGCTCCCCTCCCCGCGCGCCCCCCGTGTTGATTTTGCCAGAGCAGTGAGTGACCTGGATGCACCTGAGTGACCTGACGTTGGCGAGTCTGTCTCTCAGCCCCTGCTCGGTTTTATTTATTGTGGAATATTTCCAATGATCCGAATTGAAGTGAATAAAAAAGAGCTATTTTATCGTTTGGCCGTGGTGGGTGCTTTTCTTCCGCGTTCTGGCTTGGTCCTGGCCCGATGTTTCCATTCCCTAGAACTTTCCGGTCCTGAGTGGTTGGAGGTTTCATCTCCGGGAGCCTCCTGGGTCATTTCTGTCACATGTGGAGAGAGACTAGGGAGACAGAGCCAGCGTCAGGGCTGGACTCGGCTGTGACACTCCCTGCTCTGTGACAATGAGTCTCCTAGCCTCCAGAGCCTGTGGTTGTCCCATCTGTCAGTGTCACCCGTGGGGCAAGGGGCCTCCCCAGCAGGCACAAGCCCACTGCTCTGCGTATTCGCTGGGTCTAGGGGCCTAACATGGCTGAGGTGGTGTCTATCTGTCGCCCACAGAGACAGGCACATGGACATGAGTTGGGTCTAAAGTTGGCACAAACCTCCCATTTCAGTTTTTTTTAATTGATCCAGAAACCCAGTAGTAGCCCCTGCATGTAAAAATACTGTGAATGTTAATGACACCTCCAATGGGGGGCCTCAAGTTTGCACACCCCCTTCCTGGGCATGACCTTGAATTCTCCCCACAGCCTGCCAGGGCTGGCCACGGTGGAGGCAGAGACGGGGCGCAGACCCAGCGTCCTCGGCGGCCAGCTGCCCCACGCTCCCCTGTGTTCGGCCACAGGCCTTTTCCCAAGTTTTCTAGACGTGGGCAGATGGTGCTCCTCCGAAGGCAGCCCCAGATACCAGGCGGCCAAGCAGCCCAGGGCCACCTCCCAGCGTGCGAGTTGCTGCAAGTCCCTTAACCTGTCCATGCCTGACCTTAAATTGGGGGTGATATAGCGTCCACATGAAAACACACATTGAAGATTAAATGAGCCAGCACACATGGAGGGTGTAGGCAGAGCTGGGTTCACACTGTTACTGGACAGAAGAGGGGCCAAGAAGGAGCAAAGGTCCTGCCTGCCTGAGTTGACCCCCACCCCTCCCTTCCTGCATATCCTTGTGCTGCCCCTGCAGGGCTGGGGCCACCATGTTACCTCTGCACCTTCTGCCAGTGGCTTCCTCAGCTCTGAGATCCCTTTCTGCCTTTCTCCCATCACTCCTGTCCACGAACCCCACCCCCACCCCAGGGCGCTGCTCTTACCAGTTGTTCACAGGCCGCCTCTCCCCTCACTTCAAAGACAACGCATCATATTAATAGACTTAAAAACAAGAATCACAGGATCCCCTCCATAGGTGCAGAAAAAGCACTTGACAACACACAGCACATCTTCATGTTCAAAACACTAGAAAAACTAAGGATAGTAGGAACACACCTCAACAGTGTAAAAGCTATATGTGCTAAACCCAAGGCCAACATCATTGTAAGTGGAGAAAAATTGAAAGCATTCCTGCTAAAAACTGGAACAAGACAAGGATGTTCTCTTTCACCACTTCTATGCAACATCATCCTTGAAACTCTAGCCAGAACAATTAGACAGAAGAAAGAAATTAAAGGGATACAAATAGGTAAAGAAGAACTCAAACTATCACTATTTGCTGATGACATGATTCTATATCTAGAAGATCAAAAAAATCCCACCAGAAAACTTCTAGAACTAATAAATGAATTCAGCAAAGTAGCAGGATATAGAATCACCTCCCATAAATCAAATGCATTCCTATACATCACGATGAATCCACTAAAAGAGAAATTAGAAAAACTCCATTCACAATAGCCTTAAAAGAAAAAAAATCCTGGGAATCAATCTAATAAAAGAGATGAAAGACCTCTACAATGAAAACCACAGAACACTAAAGAAAGAAATTGAAGAAAACCTCAGAAGATGGAAAGATCTCCTATGCTCCTGGATAGGCAGAATGAATATTGTCAAAATGACCATACAGCCAAAAGTGTTATACAGATTTAATGCAAATCCTATCAAAATCCCAATGACATTCTTCATAGAATTAGAAAAATCAATCATAAAATTTATTTGGAAAAATAAGAGACCCAGAATAGCTAAAGCAATCCTTAGTAAGAAAAGTGAAGCAGGAGGCAAAAAAATATCAGACCTTAAGCTATACTACAGAGCTATAGTACACATGAAAACATACATTGAAGATTAAATGACCTAGCACACGTGGAGGGAGTAGACAGAGCTTGGTTCACACTGTTAACCAAGTGTGAAACAGCATGATATTGGCACCAAAATAGACTTGTAGAACAATGGTACAGAATAGAGGACACAGAGACAAATCCACATAAATATGGCTATATCACACTAGTCAAAGGTGCCAAAAACATTCACTGGAGAAAAGATAGACTATTCAACAAATGGTGCTGGCAAAACTGGAAATCCATATGTAGCAAAATGAAATTAAACCTCTATCTCTCATCCTGCACAAAAATCAACTTGAAGAGGATAAAAGATTTAGGCACTTAGATCAGAGACCCTTCGCCTAATAGAAGAAAAAATAGGCCCAAATCTTCACCATGTCAACCTAGGATCTGACTTCCTAAACAAGACCCCTAAAATGCAAGAAGTAAATCAAGAATTAATAGATGGTATGAATTCAAATTTAAAAGCTTTTTCTCAGCAAAGGAAACAATTAATAAAGTGAGGAGAGAGCCTACAGATTGGGAGAAAATCTTTACCACATGCACCTCCAATAAAGCATTAATCTCTAGATATATAAAGAACTCAAAAAACTTAACACTCAATACACAAATAACCCAATCAATAAATGGGCTAAGGAACTGAACAGACACTTCACAAAAGAAGAAATACAATTGATCAACAAATATATGAAAAAGTGTTCAACATCTCTAGCAACTAGAGAAATGCAAATCAAAACTACTCTAAGATTTCATCTCACTCCAATCAGAATGGCATCATCAAGAATACAGGCAACAAAAAATGTTGGTGAGGATGTGGGGGAAAAGGCACACTCATACATTGCTGGTGGGACTGCAAATTGGTGCAACCACCGTGGAAAGCAGTATGGAGATTCCTCAGAAAATTGGGAATGGAACCACCATTTGACCCAGCTATCCCACTCCTTGGTTTATAGCCAAAGGACTTAAAATCAGCATACTATAGTGACGCGGCCACATCAATGTCTATAGCACCTCAATTCACAATAGCTGCACTATGGAACCAACCAAAGTGTCCCTCAATAGATGAATGGATAAAGAATATGTGGTATATATACTCAATGGAATATTACTCAGCTTTAAAGAAGAGTGAAATTATGGCAGTTGCCAGTAAGTGGTTAGAGTTGGAGAACATCATGCTAAGCAAAATAAGCCAATCCCACAAAACCAAAGGCCAATGTTTTCTCTAATATGCAGATGCTAATTAACAATAAGGCAGTGGGGCACTAGGGAAGAATAGCGTTACCTTAGATTAGGTAGAAGGAAGTTATGGGAGGGGAGGGGAGGGGATGTGGGGGTAGGAAAGACAGTAGAACGAAACAGACATTATTACTGTATGTGACTGCATGACCAATAGATTCTACAACATGTACACTCAGAAAAATAAGAAATTGTATCCATCTATTTATGACATATCAAAATGAATGAACGCATTCTACTGTCATGTGTAACTAATTAAAATAAATTTTAAAAATTTAAAAAGGGGAAAAAGAAAAAAGACAAGCTTCCCCATCAGCTCCTTTTTGGCCTCACATTACAGCTGCAATACAGGCAAGTGTCCACAAGGTGGCAACACGCTGCAGTTGTTCCCACTGGGTAGCTCTGCAGGTGCCCAGCTGCCTGGCCCCTGCACATCCCAGGGAGTCCCAGGATGGGAAGGGGTTAGCCTGGCAAGCCTTGACCATCTAAAGACACTCCTTCGGGACTCTCCAGGCACCTCCTGCACACATTAGCCAAAGCCGCCACTTACCTGCTTCTGCACACCCCAACTGTCACAAACAGACCCTCCAGGGAACTGGTCCTGGGAAACCTGGGAATACCGTGGTCTGTCTTCCACATATGCTCAGTTGTTCAGCAAAGAACTAACGGACTAAGAAGAAGTTTCTGAGTCGGTGTTTCCTAATTGTCTTTTTGTGTAAGGATTTGACAGTGTGCGCAGGGACTGCAGGGAGAGTGTGGGAGCCACCTGCTCTCCCCCAAGGCTCTGCCCTACTGTTTTCCATACAGGCTCCTCCCTCCCCCTTTCCTTTTTTCTCGGGGCTGCTGATTTTCCAGTGTTTAAGACAAGCCTCCTATGCCTCTGCCCGAGAGTGAGCGGGCTCCCCAGGATGCACACAGCCTGCCTGACTGCTGTGGCCCTGTCCTCTGCAGCCAGCCTGGGGCCTCCCCAGTTGTCCTTGGAATGCCTCTGGCACTTGGATTATCCATTCTGCCACCCACTAATGATCCTCTTGTCACCAGAAGAAACTACATACTCAGTCAGCCTTCGTATCCACGTGTGTTCTTGTACTTAGCCAACTGCAGAGGGAAAATACGTTCGCAAGAGTTTGCCTTTACTGAACAGGTGCAGATTTTTCTTGTCCTTACCCCCTAGGCGACACAGTTCAACAACTCTCGATGGAGCATTTCCTTTGTGTCTTGTATGACAAGGATGGAGAGATGATTTAAAGTCCAGGTTGTGAATAGGTTCCATGCATCCTCAGGCGGATCTTGACACCCTCAGGGGGTCCTGGAATCAACCCCCTGCTGATTCAGAGGGACATCTGTACACTCAGAGCCTGTCCCTTACTACAGGTCTGTGGTCATCTGAAGCCCAGCAGGCCTAGGCTTTAGGGGACCTGGGCAGGAAATGCCCAACTGGTTCCTGGGACCCCCTCTGCTGTCTGGGGAGGGTCTGGTCCTTTGCCCATGTCACTCAGCACCTCAGAGGTCAAGTTCAACTACCAGAACCTCAACATCTCCACCTGGAGGATCCCAGTGATGTGTTTATTGGCCCAGCCACACCCTCTCCCTCCAGTGCCCATCACCGGGCAGGTCCAAGCCCTCAGCCCCAGAGAGCTCCGTGAGGAAGGCCTCCTCTTCCACGGTCAGAAGTCGAAGCCCTCCTGATCCTCTCCA